CTAGCCTTGAGCTGAAGAGCTGAGGGACAGCACCCAGGCCCAGAGTTCAGGCCCCACGACCAGACCTCCCCCCCGCAAAAAAAGAGAGAAGTTTATTTATGTAAGCAAAATCTAAGTAAATAAAAAAAATGGTAGTTCACACCTGTAATCCTAGCTACTTGAGAGGTAGGGATCAGGAAGATCTTGGTTCCAAACCAGCTGAGAGAAAAAGTTCACAGAAATTTCATCTCTACCAGTAAAAGCTAGGTGTAGTGATACATGCCTGTTAATTAGCCCAGCTTTTCAGAAAGCATAAGTAGGAAGAACATGCTCAGGTAGGTCTGGGCATAAGTTCAAGACTTCATCTCAAAATAATAAAATCAAATAGGGCTGGTGGAGGCTCAAGTGGTAGAGCATTTGCATAACAAGTCTGAGGTACTGAGATCAAACCCAAACACTGCCAAAAAGAAAAAAAAGATCATAGTAAAATATAAACATTTAATTGTAAAACATTAAATGTGTAAAGGCTTGTAAGACATAGTATGATTAGCAGCATTCTATACCTTTACAAGTAAAAATATATTTAAAAGTACATAAATTAAATGTTTTTCTGAAATACACGCAACCTCATTTAAGTGAAAATGGTTTGTTTGCTTGTTTTTTGTCAGTCAATGGGGCTTTGTTTGCTTGTTTTTTGTCAGTCATGGGGCTTGAACTCTGGGCTTGGGCGCTATCCCTCCGCTCTTCAGCTCAAGGCAAACACTCTACCGCTTGAGCCACAGCACCACTTCTGGTTTTCTGGTGGTAAATTGGAGATAAGAGTCTCATGGACTTTTCTGCCCAAGCTGGCTCTGAACCATGATCCTCAGATCTCAGCCTCCTCAGTAGCTAGGATTACAGGCGTGAGCCACTGGCACCCGGCAAAAATGTTTTACATACTACATTCAGTTAACACATTTCTATAAATATAAAAAAATAACCAATAACTAGAACATGTGTTACTTTGAAATGAAATAGGTACAACATTTTGCCGATTTCCTAGTCATGAACATGAATCAATAAAGAAGTCAGAACTGAACAATGCAAACCATCAAGAAATAAAGTAAACCAGTAAGAAATCAAATAAAAATTTGCTTTTAAAAATCTTTTTGGCAGCACTGTGGTTTGAACTTAAGGACGCCCACTTGCTAACTTTCTACCACTTGAGTCATGCTCTTTTTGTTTTTAGGTTATTTTTCATCAAGGTCTCACTCTTTGCCTGATGTGGGCCTCATACTGCAATACTCCTATCTAAGCCTTACATGTAGTTGAGATTGCATTGATGTATCAACCATACCCAGCTTGTTTGTTAAAATGAGATCTGACTTTTTTACTCTGCTATTCTTCAACTTTGATCCTCCTCCTCCAAAGCACCTGGGATTATAGGTGTGAGCCATCATACTTAGCTAAGAGCTTCTATTGAGCATTAAGGAGTTAAATTCCTATAGCAGTCTACTTGTCATCAAATACTATCAGGAGTACAAAAGAGTGCAAAAGAGATAATATACTTGAGACTAAAATCTATAGAAAGGCCTGCTGTAAGATTGCTACTGGCTTGCATTTGGAAACTCATATTTTTTGAGTTCCCATCATTCCCTAGTAACAGTGGTTCATTGTATTTGCACAAACAATATGGTGTACACTGAACACTTACTTTCTATCTGAGAGTCTGAAAGATTTTCTGCCCATGCTACATAGATGGTACCAATGTGATCACGTACCAATAAAATCCCGGGGACTGGTTTTCTAATAAGCTTCTCTGGTAGACAATTCCCATATGTTATTACAATTCACTGCAGAAACAAGTACATCCTATGGGATTGCACTGGGAGAGGATTGTTAATGTGAGTATGGTTATCCTATGTGTCTGTTCTCTGTGCTGATTTTACTTTTTATCTTCTCACTATAATAAATCATAGCCACAAATACAACTGTATGCTGAGTCCTGTGGGTCCTCACGGCACCTCCCAGATCACAGTACGAAGCCAGCCTATGCAGACAAACCTGAGAGACTCTTACCTACAACTAACCACCAAAAGCCAAAAGTGGAGCTGTGGCTCAAGTGGTATAGCCACTGCCTTGAGCAAAATAAGCTCAGGGACAACTCCCAGGCCCTGAGTTCAAGCCCCTAAACTGGCACAAAAATAAATTTAATTAATTAATTAATCAATCACTGATACAACTGCATTTCTGTATAGAGAATGAAAAATAAGTTATCCAGAAAAATTGACTCTTATTTCCTATGTAATATAGGAAATATAACAAACAACTACATAGAAAACAAGTAATTAGCTTGGCAACTTTTAATCTCTGGTCCTTGGAGAACAACTTTGATTTTTCAAACTGCAATGCTATCATTCTTCTTTTAGTCCATTAGCAATAAGACTGGATACCACCTTCTCTTAGCCCCAATTACCACCATCTCATGAGCAATCTTCTTTAAAATACTATAGTGTTAAATTTACTGTCAAACATACTTTAATTATAGCCAGCCACCAATGGTTCAGGTCTGTAATCCTAGCTACTCAGGAGGCTGAGATCTGAGGATCATGGTTTGAAAGCTATCTGGAGTAGGAAAGTCTAGGAAATGTTTACCTCCAATTAACCAGCAAAAACGCCAGATATGGAGCTATGTCTTAGAGACAGTGCCCCAGCACTAGCACAAAAGAAAAACCAACACCAACTTTAATTGTCACACATATATTCTGACTTTTTTTTGGGGGGGGAGGGGTTAGGTACTGGGGCTTAAACTTAAGAGACTGGGCACTGCCCTTTAAGTGCTTTACCACTGGAACCAGTTTCACTCCTAGCTTTATGCTGGTTAATTTTAGATATGAGCTGGCTTCAAACCGCAATCCTCAGATCTCATCCTCCTTGAGTAACTAGAATTATAGGCTTGAGCCACTGGCACCTGGCTATTCTGACATCTTAACCATATGAACTACATAAAATAACCAGAACACTTACTTATGCTCAGAAAGCATAGTTGATGCACTTTAATATAAAAAGATGAGACACACTAAATAAGCTTATATTTCAAATTTGATTTGTTCCCTTAAACTAAGCTGTTTTGAAAAGCAAATGATCAAGCCATGTGCCTATGGCTCACACCTATAATCCTAGCTCCTCAAAAGGCTGAGATCTGAGGATTGTGGTTCAAAGCCAGCCTGAGCAAGAAAAGTCCATGAGACTTTTTCAATTAATCATCAGAAAACTGGAAATAGTGTTGTGGCTTAAGTGATAGAGCACTCACCTTGAGCTGAACAACTGAAGGACAGCGCCCAGGCCCAGAGTTCAAGTCTCCCCAGCCCCCCAAAAAAGCAAATGATCCCAGTTTCTATCAGTTCCCGTGGTAGAGACTGAGTTTAAAGAAAGGGAGAGAGGGGAGGAGGTAGGAAGAAACGAAGGGAGGGAAGGGTAAGCAAGCTTTTTTCATGCATATAACTTATATATACCTTTCTAATTGCACAACCCCAACACAAACATAATGAAAACAATGAGATTAATGTGAAATAGAGTTAGCATCTATTTAATATTTTCAAATATTTTTATCAAACACAGCCTGCTTGTATATGTTGCAGCTTGCAACATTAGTACTATAAGAAGAAAATAGTAAGGAGCAAATAAAAGCTGGAGGCATAAGGAAAAAGGAGTCTTAACAATAATAATAAGGCATTGCCCCAAACAAATTCTGCCATTCCAAAACACCAACAGAGTATGCTGTTCCCTGACCATAAGCTCACTATGGAAGTTGCCACACGTGCTAAGCAAATTGCTGATTATAACGTACTTTTTCAGTGCTTATAATGGAACAATCACTGTTTCTTAATAGAACCATGTTTTTATTCACTTAATCATCTACATACTATATTATTAGGAGGGAGAATAGTTTTGGTTTGGTTATAGTTAAATCACAAAAGGTAATCTTTCAAACACGTTTATAAGACTCTCATCTGTAGGCCAGATACCATACATTTTTCCTTGACAATAATCTTCACAACACTGTAAAGCACTACTAAACTTATTACTTACCTCCACTGTACAATAAATATATTTCTATATCACTCACATCATTCTTATTAATAGTATGCTAAAAATCTACTATTCCACCAAGGACATCTGATCTTTTATAAAGTATTCCTGGGACACAGATTCTTTTTCAAGTTATAGAAACTTCTATTACTGCACATTCAAATGAGTAAGAAAATGCTTGACTTAATCAGCAAAAATGAGTATCTGACTAAACCAAGAGGATACAATTAAGTAAACATTTCAAGCATTAATCATTAGCTGCTGTATAATACCACTAGTGTGGTTAGATTCCATTCCTGCCTAAAAGGCTTACAATCTAAATAGACAGCACAAATAGAACACTTGAGCAAAAGAACCAGAACAAAAGGAAATCAATATTAAGTCCCAATATATTTCTTCAAGGTTGAAAGAATATTACAGAAAATAAAATTCTGACATGTAGAAACAGAACATTATATATAAAGTCCCTCTAAAGAATATTTGGAAGGGATGGGAATGTGGCTTAGTGGTAGAGTGCCTGCCTAGCACGCATGAAGCCCTAGGTTTGATTCCTCAGTACCACATAAACAGAAAAAGCCAGAAGTGGTCCTGTGCCTCAAGTGGTAGAGTGCTAGTTTTGAGCAAAAGAAGCTCAGGGACAATGCTCAAGCCCTCAGTTCAAGCTCTAGGACTGGCAAAATAAATAGATTTGGAAACATACAAACAATGAAATTAAAACAGAGAACCTAATACTATACTTACCTTACACTATAAAAACTAACCATTTAGTCTGTTGTTTAAGCAATGCTAAAGGACCTTTTATGTAGATAAATGCTTCCCAACACATAAATTCAATATTAAATTCATCAAAGTTAATGTGTTCTGATCAGCAACTGTCAACTTGATAAAATGGCCAATGACTTTCCCAGCTATCTAACAAATGAATAATTCTTTTTCCCTTGCTAAGTGAATTTAAAACCTTCCTTATTTTATTCTAGCACAAATTCTCACTGGTAAACATTCAGACTTATTGATATGATTTGTATTATACATACTACTCTACTATAGACTCTCCAATTTCTTTTTTTTTAATTTTTATTGTGAAAATACTGTACAGAGGGGTTATAATTACATGGGCAAGATAATGAGTACATTTCTTATCAAGCATTGTAGCCTCCTCCTTTGTTTCTCCTTCCCATCCCTTCCCATCCTCCCCCGCCCCCCAGACTTTCCAATTTCTTTTCCTGATTCCATGTGTAGACAGTAACTGAACATAATTTTAACAATAAGAAAAAAGGAAAAAAGAGTATTTTCAGGCATGCAAAAAACACAGTTTTTGCAGAGTTAGCTCAAAGTAAAATGTTTCCTTGAGCTCACGCCTGTAATCCTAGCTACTCAGGAGGCTGAGATCTGAGGATAGCGGTTCAAAGCCAGCCCAGGCAGGAAAGACCATGAGACTCCTATCTCCAATAAACCACTAGTTAACTAGAAGTGGCGCTGTAGCTCAAGTGGTAGAGTGCTCGCCTTGAGCTGAAGAGCTGAGGGAAAGCGCCCAGGCCCAGAGTTCAGGCCCCATGATTGACAAAAAAAAAAAAGTTTCCTTGAAATCCTAGACTATGATATGGTAATTACAATGAAGTATTTGTAAGATCACTTCTTTCACCTTCATTATCATGCTAAACCATGACTTTAGCCCTTTATTTTGAGTTACCAAAATAGGGATAAATACTAATAATTCAAAAGCAGAAATAGTTTAGCGAAGTTTAACCTGTGGAATTCTTTAATCATTCAATAAGTATACTAAAGACATGTTATCATGGAAAATGTTACCATCCTGATCAAAATTCCTCAACTTTGAATTTGCTTTTAGTTTCTTCACCATTAATATTTATTCTCAGCCAAAAGTACCAAAGATCATTTAATCATTTAGCTAATATGTACACCAAACACTATAATATAGAAAAATCACTGCATATCAACTTACTTTTTAGCAAAATTTTTACTTCTCCATTCTCTTTCTTTATCTCAGTCATTACTTTATGTTTCTTTCTCTCTCTTTCTTTTTCTTTGTCTCTCTCTTTAATTTTTTCCTTGACTTTATCTGAAACACAAAATGAAGGAAACAAAGTTATTAAACTCACAAAATGGTGACATAGTCCCTGACTTCAAATGTTAATTAATGATTACAAAGACATAATGGAAGCACACAAAATATTGTATAAAACTAAAGAAATTTTACAGTACAGATGAGTACTGCAGAATCACTTTACAACCTCTCCTTACTTCCTTTCTGTAAATATTATCCCAATCCAGTTCCTAATCACTTAATGATTAGATTAGCTATCAACTAGCAACATTGGACAAAACAAGAATACAATATGCAAATTTAAATTTTCTAATAGCCCCATTTAAAATGTAAAAAGAATAGTACAAATGTATGCTAACTCAAAAATAATCCTAGAACACATCAGGAAAGTAAATAAAATGAAATGTACAGAGAAATATGTAAAATTAATTTTAATAATGTATTTAAGATAATATAGCCAAAGCATCATTTCAACATGGGATATTTAAACAATTGAGATATTCTTTTTTTCATAAAATTATTGTAACCATTTTATAGGGTATATTTTACTTTTCAAATATCTAAATTTTACCAGCTCCACTTTAGTTGTTCAATAGTCATATAAGATTGATGACTACAACTCTGAACATCATAGCTATAAACTACTAATAGCTAAATTCTCA